TGTAATTTTTATTTAAATTAATCATTAAACGATAAAAAGTTTAAAATAAAAGTTAAAAAAACAACTTTTTAATCCATAAGGATGGGGGTTCGATAAAACAACTGTAATTGTAACATTATGTTGTTTAAATGACATTTAAAAAGCATTGAAAAAAACATTTTTAATTTTATGCATTTTATTTGGGCTGTTAAATAATAAAAGACAGAACAATAACATTGACAAGAAAAGAAAAAGACTAAGAAGAAATGATTATTGGTGGGATATTTAAATTTTTCATCCGGTTGAATTATGACGTTTCAGCATTTAAATGTAAATCAATAAATGACAATATTATAATTAATTAATTATGAATTAAATTGTACAAGCGAGTTTCTGAAAAGTTTTCGGTTTGGTAAACAAAAAAGGATATTATTGCGACAATAAACATTTATTTATTCTTTTGTGTCGCCTCTAAATATTAAAAACTGATCGATAAACAGATATTGATGATTAAAAAAAATGTTGTTTTAATAAAAATTTAAACTAAATTTAGTTTGTTTTTACACAAATGAGGCAGGATAATATTTTAAGCACCATCCAAAAGTTTTGATTTGAAAATTTAAGCTGAGGCAAGTTTTTAAAGACTAAAAAAGCTGGGGAAACCCATGATTTATTTTATTTTATTTCTTTACAGTTTTACACCCCCAAAAAACTTTGATAATTAAAAAATGTGAGGCGGGTTAAGATTTTAAACATCAAAACCTTAAATTTAGTAGCATTTTAAGTACTTCAACATTCAAAATTCGTTTACATAATTTTACAATCGATCAGTTTTTTAATTAATATTTTTGTCGATTCAGCACAAGAAGAGTTAAAAATGGGGAAATATCTGACGTTTCGATTTTTAGGTCATCTTCTTAGAATTTTGGGAATTGGTCAGTCTGAGAAAATCTCAGCACCTATTTTATATTTCGGTTCCTAAAACGAGTTATTTTGTTTTAAAAAAATCTAAAATTAAAATGGCTTTCCACTTGTAATATGAGGCAAGCTAACTACATTATCATCTTCCGCCGGTTTTTTAAAATTATGGTTTATAATAGTACCTAATTTTAAGCAAGTAGTTTAATTTGGCACAGGGCCGTGTAAGAAGGAAGACTGTATTGCGCCAGACTTTCAAGTGGGGAGGGCCTGCCTACCTTGAAAATCTGCTTTCGAAATTCTCTCATTTTACCTTGGTTACTGTCGCCGGTGGGAAAAATACGCAACTATACTCTTCTTAGCTTAGTACGGAACACGGCCAGGATTTGGCGGGAATGGTGGGGTGGGGGTGAGGGTTGATAGGGAAAGGAAGATTATGTTACGCCAATCTTCAAAGTAGTGAGGGATCACTTAGAAAATATCAGTAATCAAAATCCTTGGTAACGATTTCAGTTACAAGGTATGCTTAACCTTGTCTGGCACAAGGCTATAGGGTGTGTATTACAGGATAATTATAAATTTTATAAATCAACTCATTGCACTCGTGGATAGGTCTGATGAAGATTACAATAGGCAATTTTTTATAGAACAGTACTTAAAAAATGCAAAATGGCATTTAGCTGTTTATTCAGTATTGATAAAAAATAAAAATCTGATATTAATTATTTCTAAAAAAAATTTATATTAATTATAAGTTTCTAAAGAACAGAATCTGGTATTATATATTATGGTTTTATATCTAAAAAAAATCTAGTATTAGTTAAAGGTTCATAAAAAATCTATGATTATTTACATTCTTCTTCTTAACCATATGTTAGTCACTTTTTATTTTTCAAAATGGATAGGGCCCCGGGTATTTGCTTCCCATGACAACTCAGCTACAACGGTGCCACGCTATGTTACATGCCCTCACTGAGTCTGGAGAGTAATGGAAGGGAACAAAAGAAATAAGTTACTAATGAGGAATCATGTCTACTTTAAAAATTCTGGGATAATAAAACACCTCAAGCTTTAAAAAATCCAATATTAATTATAAAAATAAAAATTTTGTTTTAATTATAGGTTTCTACAGACATCCAGTATTAAATTTCTAAAAAAGTCTGGTATTAATCATAGGCTTACAAAAAATCCATTATTAAATATAGGTTTTTATAAAAAAATATTGTAGATATTGCATATATATTGTTCTAAAAAAAATTGTAGATGTATAGAGTTCTAAAAAGAAATCCTAGATATATATAAGGTTCTAAAACATCTTAGACATATATATCATATATAGAGTTCTAAAAATAAATCTTAGATATATAGCATATATAGGGTCCTAAAAAATCCTAGGAATATAGCATATATGGGTTCTTAAAAACAAATCTTATATATATAGCATATATAGGGTTCTAAAAGCAAACCTTATATATATAGCATATATAGAGTTCTAAAACCAAATCTTAGATATATAGCATATATAGGGTCCTAAAAAATCTTAGATATATAGTATATATAGTGTTCTAAAAACAAATATTAGATATATAGGGTTCTAAAAAAATTGTAGATATATAGCATATATAGGGTTTTTAAGAAATCGTAGACATATAGAATATATAGGGTTTAAAAACATCCAAGATATATATCATATAGTCATGTTCTAAAATAATCATAGATATATGGTATATATAGGGTTCTAAAAAATCCTAGATATATATCATATATAGGGTTCTAAAATAATATAGCATTTATCAGTTTCTAAAAAAATTGTAGATCTATAACAGAGTTCTAATAAAATATCTGGCATTAATTAAGAAAAACAAATCCAGTATTAATTATCAGTTAAGAAATAATTATGGGTTAACCAATTAAGAGCCTCTATTCCATAATTGGGATGGTAGACATATTGGAATAAGTAAGTTTGTGATGATATTGTACTTGTAAAACCTTCAGTTGTTCTACATTTTCTGATGTTCAACAGTTGAATATCAACTGAAAGAAAAAGTAAAATTAATTAAAGATAATAATTAAACTTCTACTTTGTCCATTTGCTATAAATGAAGACAACTATAATACATTCAGGGCCATTGTAAGAGTCTCATGCTCCTTCCCTGAATCTATGATACATGGCTCACAACTCTACAATATCTCAATTTTTATAAAGTGGTAATCATATAAACTACAAATTTTACCATAACCTAATTATGTACAATAATGGTGTATTCAATATAGGTGAACAATTCAAGTAGCAAAATTGAAAATAAATACAATGTATCTAAATAAAGGGCATTTCATTAAGATGGATTATATATAAGAGTGTTTCATTAAGACAGATCAAAGTCAGCAGTAAATAAATGAGTGTTATTTGTGAAAATTTATTTATTTCTCTATTGGATCATGTTATTTAAGTCATGGCAATTATGTGTGAAAAATAATATTGGCCAAATGTTGGTCAAATCTGAAAGAAAAGGAAAAATTCATTAGATGCTTAAACTTATTTCACATTTAAAATCAGTTCAAGTTATTGGAACACCCTTTACAAATTAGACACATCTCATAAGATATCTTTCTTCTTAAATTAACCAACAATGTTTTGCAGTAATTTTTAATATCAACTTGAGATTTTTCTTCTTAAAAAGTTGAAGAATTTAATACATTTATTATAGACAAAAAATAGTGAATTTTATATAGTGTTTTTCCAAGACTTAGTATGAGCAAAACAAATTCACAGATTTGGACCCCCCCCCAGAATAACGTCAAAATCTGCAAAAACTTTTCATCCTTTAATAGCCAGTTGTGCTTAGTTTAATTTGTAATGTATATAAATGTAAGTAGAATAAAAGCAAATGTTGATAAGATAGCAAGGGTCACAAAACTTTGCCAAGGGTCCCAGGTTTTTGTTGTTATTTGAGTGTTGGGATTCCAAATATTTAACAACGACATCTTTTAAATGAAACATAAAAAAGGTTATTTTCTGAAGGAAATTTGGAAGAAGAACATCAGTTGAAATAACATCTTTATATTCTTTTCAGAAATATACAATAGCAATGAAATGTTCAATTTTCCTTATAGTGAAGTTTGTTTTATCAAGTAACTAGCAGGGATGCCTGGCGTTGCTTGGAAGATCTCTGAATAATAGTTTATTATTGACAATTTATTGATATTTATCAGCCATCTTATGGAAAATAATTGTTTATTCAATCTTTAAGAAATAAACTTTGTTGTTTTTTTGGTTTGTTACAAAATAACTAAATTTAGGAAAATACTACACTACCAATACCATGGTCAGGGTAGTGGGGGGGAGCTTAGGGGACTGAATATCCCCATATTTTTATTCAAAAAGACACTTTAATTTAAATAAAATATAGTTAAATTCATAAAAAAATATTCAACATGACTAATGTTGACCATAACTTAAGTCTGTCTTTCTTAATTTTTATTTAACTAAATTTTTTTCTTTTCAAATACAACTTGAAATGTAAACATAATCAATTTTCAAAAATAAATGCTCAATGCATCTTGCTTCTACTCTCTTACAAAATAGTAAATCAATGCATTTATAGAGAAATGTTTGCTTCTTTAATGTAATTTTTAGAAGTAAAACTTTATTTACTTAAAAAAAATCTAAATTCCCTTCCAAAATAAATAGTAAATAATTATTTTTCAAAGAAGTAATGCTCACTATACTTTAAAAAAATGATTAAATTAAATATGTTTAAATATATCTTAATTTAAGTTTATTTACTTTATTTAGATAGGAAGAAGAAGTATTAACATTCATTTTTACTTTTTAATTTTGAAAATTTTGAATGCATTATCATGCATTTTAATTTTAAAATATCTCTGTAAATACAAATCATATGATGATAATTCTTTTACAAAATGCTGGCTTGGGGGATCTGTGTCTGGTTATATATTTACTTTGTCATTACTTATTGTAGTTTTTTAGTTTTACCTGGACACACATACATACAGATAACTGTCCTTTATATATGTATAGATTAAGTGTTTATAGGGTGGTGTGAAATGTGTGGACAGACTTACTTTATGACAGTCAGACTTTAGAAACAGGCTGAGATAGATATATAGATAGATAGACGGATAGAAATAGGCTGAGACAGATAGATAGATATAAACAGGCTGAGATAGATATATAGATAGATAGATATATAGATAGATATAAACAGGCTGAGATAGATAGATAGATTGATAGAAACAGGCTGAGACAGATAGATAGATAGATGGAAATAGGCTGAGATAGATAGATAGATGGAAATAGGCTGAGATAGATAGATAGATAGATAGAAACAGGCTGAGATCAATAGACAGGAACAGGCCGAGATATCTTAGACATATATAGATACACATACGGGATAGATATAAACAAGCGTAAATGAAAGAGGCTGAAGTAGATACAAATAGGATGAGATATCTACATAGATATAGATAGAAGCAGGTTGAGATAGAGAGAATGACAGACTGAGATAGATAGATAGAAAGAAAGAAAGAAAGAAAGAAAGAAAGAAAGAAAGAAAGAAAGAAAGAGGATGAGATAGATACAGTGGGTTAAATAAGTTTCCATACTGTACCAAAAATTGACTATTTTCTTAAAATAAATATCTGTAACTTTATCACTTCTGTCTCAAATACGACATATAGTATGTTTATTAGTGTTAAAAATTAGAAACTTATTACCAAATTTCAAAAAATTATAAATAAAAATATGAGAAATAAAAAACAGAGGTGTAAAAAAAGTGCCGATGCTGTTACAGATTTCTCTGTAATTACTTTAATAAGTACCAGTTATTTTATATTTTAATTTTTTAATTCACATTAGAATTAATTTATATATAGAATTCATATTATGGTGATATTTTTTAAGTGTAGATGTCACACAAGTCTGAAAGTATGGGGTACCCAGTGAGAAATGAACTCACTACTCAGTCATAATTGTTCTAGTGAGACAAGCTTGCTAACCATTACACCATGTCAAGGTGTCCAATAGAATTTATATTACGTCTGAGATTACTTATCAATTTTTGAGAAAAATATGCACTCTCTGGCGGGGTTTGAAAATGCATTTCCCTAGAGAAGCCATCATTAGATCTGGTGTGTTTTGACCTCTCAGTTACAGAGAGTGTCAATGACCAAGCAAAACTGAATAATGCCTTTAAAAACAGATCTTTCACCAACTCTTGACCACTGTATTGTAAACATATAATGTGACTCTCACCCTGAGATTTCCACTGACTGGTCATTAATTAAATCCATGTTGCATTCTTGATCTTGTTGGTGTGCACTGAATGCTGGGAAAGGGCCTGATGCATGCTCACAAGGTGAAAGGCAAATGCCATTTAAATAAATAAGATACGTGAACCTTGTTACCCATATTATATTTATATGTTTCATTCAGGGCTTCACTTGTTTATCTGGGTGGGAAGGTGATACTTGGGACAAATCCTATGTCAGCTCTTCTCTCTACCAACATCCCGATTGGAAACACATGACGGACAAATCTTTCACAAAGGGGCAAACCAGCACTCACTTCAATCCCAAGAACGACCTGTTAATATACCCCAGCACATGGTGGCTAAGTTTCCCTTTTGTCTTCATTTATTATATATATATATATATATATATATATATATATATATATATATATATATCTATATATGCATATATATGTGGTGGACTCTCCTATTGTGAATGATAAATGAGGGTCAGCAGTGGATGGTAATTTTCATTTTACACTCATGCATGCTAGCAGGGGTTATTGTGGAGAAAATCAGGTAAAGAAAAGACATATTTCATTTGTGCTTTCTTAAGTGCGATACTAGCCCAGCCTTGCTGTGGGCAACAAAACCACACTGACAGATGAAATTTGTTAAAGCAGGATTTTGCTGGTGTCTCTGCTTCAGAGCTTGATGAAGCTTATCACAGTGCTTCAGTCTACTGTCTTCAAAAGCCTTTAACTTAATGAAACATGTCTTATGCCACTCCTTTCGGTTTGATACTTGGGCTTCCTAGGTTTTCATTTCAAGTTGTCTTTCAATTTGTCTTTGTAGCGTAAGAGTGGACGTCCAGCTGAACACTTGGAGTTTGGTAGTTGTCCATACAGCACCTTTTTTGGAAGCCTATGCTCATCCATTCTCACAACGACCAGCCCACCTAATTTGCTAGAATGGTTTCAATGCCTGTGAGGTTGTTACATTTCTTCAGCATTGCACTATTCTTGACCCTGTCATCCTATTTTATATCATAGTGCATGTGAAAGGCATTGATTTATGTGCTTGCAGTACAGGGTCCAAGTTTCAGCACCATAGAGAAGGGTTGAGAGAATGACTGATCTTTATATGTCGATCTTTACTTTGACAGTAAATTATTATATATATATGTATAATAGCCAAATGAAGATATACATAAATATTTAGTTTATCATTTAAGCATAAAAATGAATTATTTATGTAAAAAAAATGAAATACAATTTTCCTAACTCAAGAAATGCCAAAAAATAAAAAATGACAACCAGTTTAGAAAAAAATAAAACCCAAATGGAAGAAA